ATTTCATATGATGTGAAGTGACAACTGTGCTGCTTGCAAATATTTTTATCCTTATCCTTATTCGGTCGAAATTCTGTGCAAAAGATTTCATCTACTTGCACTGCTTTCCTTAGCCAGGACATGTAACTGCTTCATATGGACTGGACTGCTTGAATGGCGCTAAACTGGTTATGGTATGGTTCTGCGAGGCACGGCCAGATGGCGCTGCAGTGCGTCTGGTCTACCATCAGGAATTTTGAGTAATTTTGAAGGCTGCTTTTTGCATCTAATTGAAGTTTTTCAGGTAAAATGTTATCCGGATAACCACCACATCCACCTCCTCCCAGGGACCAGCTGCCCCTGCATCTGCATCTGTGTCTATGGGAGCCGCGGTGCGTGCGCTTGTGTTTGTCCCACGACAGCACTTGGCCATATTTTACCGCTTTTAAGCAGCGCGTAAATACTCACGCTTACTGCAAGAGTAGAGTCCATTAAACGGTCGTAAAAACTTTACGATTCCCAATATGAGATTCTCTTAATACGATTTTTTATGATATTGAAATCTTCTTTCGCTGCGAGCCCATCATCGCCATCTCCGGCCTGGCCACGTCGTCGCGGCGAGCCTCGGCGTCTCGAGAAAACGGAACCGGCAAACCCATCTGAGGCCCACAACTCGTGTCTGACGTCGCCTTGCACTTTGCTCAAATTTGCCGGTCAGGTCTCTTCAGCTGGGGGAAAACTGAAAAACCGCCACAGGTATGATAATAGCCGTCGTCGTCTCCGCCACTCCACCTCTACCAACCGAAAGGGGCGGGTGCGTGTGCTTTAATGTCTTGTTGAGGCCTATAAAACACGCTCGTCATCGCATTGCCCAAATGGTGTCGACTCGGTGACGATGGGACGATGGGGATGTCGATGGCGATGCAGAGTATTTGAATTCGAGCTGTATGGGCTGCGAGCATTTTCCGAAGCTGAATGAAATCTAATCTGGTTTTTGCGTCCATCTTGAAAGGAATTTTTTTGAAATGCTGAAACTAACTAATTTTAATTTCCGGTATCGATGTAATCTGTAAACTAACGGTGCTGACCGAAAGGTTTTATTTATAGGGATTACAAAGTACAGCAAATATATTTAATATTCTTAAATTAATCGACATGAAACTATACGTTTTTCCCAATCGGACTCATTTCTTGTAAGTTGTAAAAGCACTTTACAAAACCCAGAAGCATTTCCAAAGGTGCCCGCTTACTAAAATTTTAACTGAATCTAAACTATCTTCATTTGATTATCCATGGTTTTATAAGCCCATTGCTGTCCATCATGAATTTTAAAAAGCGCCTTCAATTCGCCCCAGTGCATACTCACCAAGGTCCCAATTTTTGAAATATGATTGTTTTGATCGAAAAATCCAAGTTTAATGTCTTTATAAGTTATGGCAAACTATATGTACGACGTCCTCCCAACAAACAATTAAATCCAAAATACACAACGAAGACCGTTAAACATGGTCGCGGGCTGTTTCACCGCATCGGGCTTAGGTCTCCTGGTGAAGATTCAAGTTATTATGAACGCTGAAATGTAGAGAGACATTCTGTGCAATAATTTATCTGGAGAATATGCCGATAATTTGCCACTTGCCTGGATATTTTAACAGGACAACGACCCTATAGATTGCTGCAGGATAGTCAAGTCGTGGCTTAACCAAGGGGGAATCAATGTTTTGCAATGGCCACCGCAGAGTCCCGACCTGAACCGTATAGAGAACTTGTCGGGAATTCTAAACCAAGTCGTTGCCCAAAAAAAACGAGATTTGTGCCGAATTTTACAGGAAGAATGGAAGAAAATCACCCCTCAACAGTACGCACGTCTTGAAGATTCAATACAAAATCGTTGCTCCACTGTTCTTAAGAAGAAAGGTCATCCTACTCAATATTAAAGTAAGGCCAACGTAAAATAAAAACTTTTCTTGATTTTCGTTGAAATTCTTGGTGGAGTTCTTGTGGCTTAAGTGTATGAACCACTGTACATCACAAATGTTTATTTATGTCGACATACAAAAATATTTGTTGAATATTTCGTTACATTTTAGACTAACTCTATTTCGCTCAATCTCTATCTGCTTAAAGAAAAATCAATTTCAATTAATTATTATGGTCTTCTTTTACAGATGAAAATTGGAAAAGTCCCGCAGCCACTCAACTGGTGAGTGAAAATACTAAGTAAAGAACGGAATAGGCAGATGGGATGCATTCATTTAACGATGTTTTTCTGGTCTTGAGTTGTTTTTCCGATTAATTTCCTGATTTATAATTTTCATTTGTGCAATTTACAAAACGGTGCATCATTAATGCAATTAAACCGCAATAAACGCGGTCAAGTAAAACCAGGACAAAACAGAGACAGACAGTCGACTGGATAGATGAATTGGGCAGACATTTGGCCTGCACTCGTATAAATTTTATGAGTACTTTCGAATTGACTCGTGAGCGAGTGTGGATGGCACAGAGACCCATATTTCGGATAGGGCGCAGGGCAGGGATGTGGATGCGAAGGAAGTGACCTATAAGCCCGACCGCATCGGAGGATTAAAAATGATAGCGTGAGAAGGCATTTTGTAATCGTCATCCAAATTACTTTCTAAAAACACTCATTCCTTCCGACCGCTCATCTGTGGAGAAGGGCAAGGCAACCGCAAGTCGAGTCAAACAAGCCGTAAACCGACGCCATAAAAGTGTATCAAATTAGGGACTGAAACCGATTCGGGAGGTTTCGTTTTACAACTACAACTAAATGCTGATACCATATATCGTAGTTTTGAGTCCGATTTTTGAAGTTAAAATCAATTTTTAAACAGTAATATAATGTCCCTCTTCTTTATGGTTAGAAATACACCAGCGATTACACCTATTATAAGAGGCATTCAGTAAACACGACGAATACATCTCTTTATTCTCCTTATTTTGTAAGTTGCCTTTATTGTTTTAAAAGTGTTTCTCATTGCATGGTCTGGTTTATTTGTATGCCTATTTTGTTTTAGATACAACCTGTGGCACTAGAGATTACAACGGAGCTGTTTCCTTTATGGTTTGTTCCGCTTTTGTTTAAGAATCCGCACGCAATCCCACCACCAGCTCAACTTAACTCAACTCAACTCAACTCGTCCCGTCAATTCCATCCCTCTTTCCGTTTGAGGAGCAACTCAAAATAGTGTTTTATTGCTGTAAATGGTTCTTTCAGTTATTTATTTTTTTTTATTTGCCACTGCTCTGCGATCTCCGCACTCCACCCTGCTCGCTCAGCCGCCGTACCCCAGTTTCAAATTTTATTAGTTTATTACGATTATTATCGTTTAATGGGGCTCGTTTGCACCGCTGACGCTGACGCTCACTCGTATTGTTTTTTTTAGTAGTTGTATGTATGTAGTTCTTTCTGGTTGTTGTTGCTGCTGCTGCTGCTGCTGCTTGGGCAACGTGTGAAGTTGTTTTATTATTTGTTTTGATTATCAAAATGAACGTTTTACATTTTTCCGGTCGTTGGGCGGACCACCTGCCCATGGCCCAGAGCCCAGAGCCCAGAGCCCATAGCCTATGGCTGAAAAGCAGTAAATCACTGCCCGCTGTGAGTGCTCCGTGAGTATGTGCGAGTGCACCCAGTGGGTCCAGGGAGAGGCCCGTGGGGCCAGACACTCACTCGCTCATTCGCACTCGTTGTATGACCCATAAACTTGAAACAAAGTGTGGCAAAATGTTTAATTTGGAATTTATGAGCAATTAATTTTAAAATACCATGCTGTCCGTTAACGCTGTTCCCCCACCCCGTTCCCGTCCCCGTCCGCGTCGGGGACGGACAAACCATAAAAGATTTAGCAAAAATTTGATTATTTAGCCACTCCGCTGATTAATCATTATTCAATTGTTAACGCACTCCGCGAACATGGAATTTGGCAATCCGAGCTAGGCAGGCAAATTGGGCAACGGCTATAAAACTAATCGAAAACCAATTTCAATTGAATTATCGGGGTGGATCGAATCCTGGTGTAAGTGGCAGATACAGACTGCTTGTGGATGAGGGAATTCAATTGAAATATATATCTGAAATATTTGCAACTTAAAAATGTTTTTTACAATGAATAAGTCTAGATTTTAATTCAAAACTGTAAGTTGTAAGATCTAAAAATGATTGTGATACAAAAAATGTAAATAAAACACTGTTATTTTAGCCGATTATGTTGTTTTTAAAATGTTTCAGTATATTTTGTAATTTCTCATCTTCAGATTAGCTATACTATAAAACAATGGTAAGAAATGTAATCAAATTATTTATAAATTGTATGGAAAAGGTTTTCAGACCATCGATACGTAATACATAAGTACATACATCCATGTATCCAGGTAACAAATTAGGCTATATAAAAAAGAGATCCAAAGTGTATGTTGATGAATAAGTCAGACCAATCACTGAATCCATCACCCACCCATCATCCCAGTCCACTCGACACATCCTAAAGAGGCCACATCTCGAGGCGGAGTCAGAGGACAGGCCAGGCCAGGCCCCGACAAGTGGCCAAGTTGAGAAATTGCAGATTCGTTCTGTTTCCGCATAAATTCACAGCCAAACAAGGAATCTGCCCTATGCAGTGCAGGAGCAGAGGAGTGGAAGCGTCCAATTCCAGTCGTAAATTTGAAATTTTTCATAAAAATGTCATAACAGCAATTCCACTGACAAGGGCACAAGGCGGGTAGAAAGAAAGAATGGGAGAATGCGAGAATGCGAGAGAGTGAGAGAGAGAAGGCGTCAACGCGAAGAGCAACAAAAGGCGGCGGTCGAAACTAAAGGAGAAGAAATGAGTTTTTGCCGAGTCGGCATTTTTCATCTCTCGAATTTATGGATTTTTCGTGATTTCTATCGCGGAGATCCGCACTTTTGTGTGCAATAAAAAAAGAAAATACAAATTTGATGCGACTAAATTTAGGCTAATTTGTATTAAGAAAAGCAAATCGCATACTCGTATAACTCAGAAGCCACTGTGGCTGAGCAGATGAAAAATTTAATGCACAAAATTAAGAAAATACAAAATTTGATGCTGATCAAGAATAGTGTCGGAAACACTTCCTTCTGGGTATATGTATATCTAAACTCTTCGAATAATGGGTATACAAATTATATAATGAACATTAAAGAGCTCTGTCGGCAGGAGTATCTGGAGTACTGTTGTTCCGATTGTTGTTTTTGTTGTTTTTAGCATTCTATCGGCAAGGCTCAGGAAACCTATAAATAGAGATTTTAATGAAAGCCACCGCATAGATCCATACCATACCATCTAATGGGCTAAGAGTTAATCGACACTTGTCGCCTCCTCCTCTAGCTTCCTCTTGGCAGCTCTCCTCTCTTTCTGTTTTGTTCTTCTCTGATTGGTGAAAAGTGCCTTTGTTGAAACTATTCGGATTAGGATTGCTGCATATACCAGTATTTTTTCGTCCTCGGACCTATTGCGATCACGGATGCAGTCGTACATAGGACCCCCGGCATTCTTTGGGCACCAGTACCCCTGATTCTCCTGCGGACAGGGCTCAACCAACTCCGAGCTTAGTTGTCGGCAGAATCCAAATTTTTGGTATATCTCTAAGATGCCATTGAAAATAATTTTCCGCTCGGAGCATTCAGTCCGTATTCCTAAGGCTCTCCGCTTCTGCATTTTTTGGAATAAGCTGCTTGTGTCCAAGAAGGGTGATAAATGCTTCCGCCATGCTGTCGATGCCGATTCCGCCGCCTGACTACAGGCATCACCCAATATATTGGCAAATGGATCAAACTGGAACTGCACCTGCGATTGACCGTAAGTCGGAAGATGCTGCTGCACACGCAAAGGCGAGCAGAAAGTTTTGCTCAATTCGCATTCTCACGTCATAAACATAAAATCGCGAAACAGCTCAAACTGCAAAACCACTCAAAAGTCACTCGTCGAGTGTCGCTCTTTCGCTCAGCTCGCCTCTCTCTCTCTCTCTTTCAGACGGCCATCATGGCACAGAGAACGACAGGGAGAGAAAACACGAGTCTCAGCTTCGCCATTAGTGCGAGGGAGCGAGACAACCCGATGTGCCCAGCAGCGCTGCCATCTTTCTTATTGCCGACGCCGCCGTCGGCGCCGGCAGAAAGCGCTAGTGCGGTGCGGTGTGTATGGGTGCATATGCGATATGCGTGTGTTTATGCGCAACGGCAGAGTGCTTGAAATGAATTGCTGGCGGACGCGGACTGTTGTCACTGCCTCAGCATCTCAGCATCCAGCGGCCCATAAGAACGCTCGCATGGCTTTTGTATTGCGCCATAAACGTTTCGCTGCTCGTAACGCCACAACGGCCGTCGCGGCACTCTCTCGGCACGGAAAAGCATGTAACCAGTCGTCCAGACAGACAAACTCTCCAAAAGCGCCCGCGCTTTCCACGTCGCCGTCGCCGTCGCCGCCGCCCCCGTCGTCATAGTCGCGTCTCTGCCGCAGTCTCTGCCTCTGCCTCAGCCTCAGCCGTAGCCACAGCCGCTGCTGCTGCTGCTGCCGCTCTGTCAACGCCGGCAGCAAGAATTACCAATTACACGAAATTTTTATACTCTTTTAAAAATTTCGTTTTATTATAATATTTATTATCGTGGCGCGCAGTAGTGTCTGCGGAACAGCGCTCGCTCAGCACTCAGCTCCAATCGCCAAAGCTCCACGCTCCACGCTCAGCCTTCCAGCCTCCACTCGACTGATTCCGATTCCGTTTCCGATTCGCCGTGTTTATTATTATTTTGTACTCGGGCTCGTCTTATTGTCACTTAACTGTTATAGTGCGGTTTATAGTTTATAGTGGCACGAAACACACCAACGAAACAGAGCGAGCCCCGACATTCGTCCTCTGGAATATAGTAAAACAATATAATGCCAAATCAGAAGGTGATCGGGAAAACTGACACTCCGAAAGCCATGAAAAATTAAACCGTGGCCCAAGAAACTGTCAAAACAAGTGTGTGTGCAGTACATAAAAATTAAAAAGTCATAAAGTTGACATCGTAAAAGGTTCGAGAGTTCGATTCTGCCGCCCGTCTACCTGTGGGGCCAAAGAGAAAGAGAGAGAGAGAGAGAGAGAGCAAAGTGTTTTACGGCATTTTAAACAAAGTAATTAAAGCAGAACTGAGCCAGAGAAAGCCTTTCTCCCCCATTCCCAGCACCGAGCCGCACCACACACGCACTTGAAGAGTCGTAAAAGGAAGCGCTGTGAATCATAGCCAATAGCCGTAAAAACATAACGCGTTCGCCAGGGCTGCCGCTGCCCCGAGTCCCAGTTCGAGTGCCGTCGCCGTCGCCGTCATTTTAAATCCCGCGCCTATAAATCATCCGACGGCAGGCCAGCTACAGCTACAGCTACAGCTCCAGCTCCCCACCCGTGCATTTTCCGCGTAATTGATGGCCGCATTTTAATTGCTTTTACAACAAATAAATGTCCCCACCCATACACACCACAGAAACAGAAACAGAACCAGAACCACAGCAACTGCAGCAACACGGCAACCTGAAACCATATGCAAATTTAACAAATTTCGTTGTGAGTGTTCAATTTCGGCCGAAAAGCATTGAAAAAATACAACCTGCTCGCCCATCGGAAGGCGCTTTCCAATAAAACACAAGCCAATTTAATAGAGAGCTCCACTCGAGCTCTGAAAGGTAACGAAATGCATTCTCACTCTCTGCAAGACTAGAAAGTCTACAAGTAGAACAAACTCGGGAAAATGGCAAAGTTTCTTCTCTCTACACCACTCTCTATATCTTTTCTCGTATCTCTTAAAGTCTACTAACTCCTTTGCCTCCCATATATAGTGTACTAATCTAGGAGATAGCACTCCCCTCACAACCGCAACCCCAAGTAGTTCTACTAACCCTTTGGCATCGTGCTGGGAACATTTGTTGAGAGAAAAAGTCTATAGAAATGCGATTTAAAGCAGCCGTCGGAGAGATTTATGTCCAATCTGAACGAACATATTCAATTTGGCTAATGTTCTTTTTATATTTTTCGAACCATCTCTTCTGATATATGAACATATATATACGCACGTATAATCGTATATATCGTATTTGAGTGTATTCTTCTCTGAACGTTTTTAAATTGTCAGCTTTTCTTTTGGGTGTATTCGGTTTTTGTTTATCACAAATTTTAGTGGATCTCAAGTTTATTTTCCCTGCTTTATGGCATTTTTAGTGCACTTTAACTTGATCAATTTGTGGCCTGATTTATACGCAGAACAGTGCCGTTCCCATTGGATTATAATGGCATAAATCTGATTGAGAGAATAAACATCCAACAATTTAATAACCAAAGATCGAGCGTTTTTCGCAGCTGAATTCGAACAAAATTTGTTAAAGAGAACAAATATTCAAAACATAAATATTCAATCTAGTTACTCCCCGATCCATTCAGAATCGTTACTCAAGCCACTCAAAGGACTCAAGCTAGAAAAAAATAAAATAGAAAAAGCGGAGCGGAACACCTCCAAGAACAAAATATACCCAGAAGTAATCGATCCTAGTCCCAGACTCGAAAGAAAATAAAACATCCAAAACAGACTCGACTCCGACGCATTCGACGATTCGACGACTCGGCGATTCTCGGCCGGCGAGCAAGATATGTGCAATGTCAAAATTTGTTTTCGATAGTATGCTGCCAAAGTACCCACAGTTCCAGCCATTTATCAGTTCGCACCTAACCACCACCCCCCCAACCTCGTCATCAGCAGCCGTCGCAGCCGCCCTCGCCGCCGCCGCAGCCTCCGTCTCAGCCAGCTCCAACACCTCGGCGACCGCCAGCAGCAGCACCAACAGCGGCAGCAGCCACCTCAGCCCTCACCTGCAGACCGGATCGCTCTCGCCAGGATCCAGCGCCCTGCACCTGGGCAACCAGCTGCACCAGCAACACCTGAGCCAGTCCTCCCACTCGCCAGTGTCGTCCTCATCGCCCTCCTCCGCGGCGCTCTTCCAGCAGCAGGCCCAGCAACAGCAGCACCAGCAACAGCAGCTCCACCAGCAGTCGCAGTCGCAGTACTCCTCGCTTTCCGCTGCCCTCCAGCTGCAGCAGCAGCAGCACATCAACAAGCTAGCCGCCGCCGCGGCCGCCGTCAACTCCCAGGGCTCCCACGCCCACGCCCACTCGCACGTCCACGCGCACCAGCAACTGCTACTGACCCCGCCCTCGGCCGGCAATTCGCAGACCGGGGACAGCAGCTGCTCCCCCTCGCCGTCGGCCAGCTCCTCGCTGCACCGCAGCCTCAACGACAACTCGCCCGGATCCGCGGCCAGCTCCGTAGCCGCCGCCGCAGCCGCTGCAGCCGCCGCCGCCGCGGCCAGCTCCTCGTTTGCGATCCCCACAAGCAAGATGTATCCGTACGTGTCAAACCACCCCAGCAGCCATGGAGGACTCTCCGGCATGGCCGGCTTCTCCGGACTGGAGGACAAGTCTTGCGGGTGAGTCCACGATCTTTCTATCTATAGATGTGTTCTATTCTGCTCTTCTTCATTGTCTGAATGAAACTTAAGACTCTCAACTTAGTGTCCATTCCCACTCACCCATTTATTTTAAACTATATAAAAACTGACTTTTATTGAGTATCCTTTCTGTCCGATATACTACTCTCGAACCAATGGATATGTATCCATTCCAACATACTTATTACCATTTGGGCATGGGCTGATATCTTTATCATTCCCCACCAATTCTGATACATGGAGATACAAGAACTCCCTTGGCTCCTGACATAAAACTCCTCGAAAACTTAAATACGCAAATCCCGAATCGATTGTCAAGCGGAAAAGCCCAGAGAAACCATCGAGAAAACCTCCACAGACCGCAACCACAAATCCCTTTCCAATGTGCTCTAATTATCGGTTCGGTCCTCGGGTGCTGGTGCCCATTGAGCCTTCCCATCGAATGGCCGTCAAGAGCGGCCGGAATGGGACAATTAGAGCGCTGCGGTGGCTGCTGGTGGCCATTTGTCGCCGGCCACGAGATTCGCACGCACGTTGACCTTCCGCCTTCCGCTGCGGCCATTTGCATATTGGCCTGTTACAACGTGTTCCCGCTGGGTGGGCGTGTGGGGGATTAGTGTGCAATTAGAGGCAACCGCAGTCGGAGTGGGAATGGGCCCAGTTAGGGCTGGTCAGGGTTGGTCGGTGACTGCTAGGGCAGCTCAATTTGCATTTGACTTTGGCCTCTTGTGCCGGAAGCAAACAGGAAAACAAACACGATCTCGTGCTAATCGACTTTCTCCCTCTCTCTCTCTCTCTCTCTTTCGCTCTTTCTGCGTTTTTTCTTCCTTCTTCTGCAGCAGGTACACGGACACCGTGATGAACAGCTACCAGTCGATGAGCGTACCTGCATCGGCGTCCGCCAGCTTCGCACAATTCTATCAGCACGCAGCCGCCGCCTCGGCCGTGTCCGCCGCGAACGCCGGGGCCATGGGCGTGGACCCTCTCGGCAACGCCTGCACTCAGCCTTCCTCGGGGGTGGTGCCTGGGGCCGGCGGGGCTGGTGGCGGCATTGGAGATCTGCCGAGGTATCCCTGGATGACGCTCACAGGTGAGTCACGGCCCAGCCGAATGAATCCATTTATCCGACACTGTGTACACAAGATCTGCATAAATCAAAAGCACTCAGTCGGGCATTGGCTGGGAATTCACACCTCGATGGCCGCGGGCTCATATAAACATTAGATAAACGTGGCGCAAAACGTTTTCCCATTCCAATTCCATTTCGATTCTGAATCCAATTCCGAAGCCTAATGAACACTTTTCGGGGCACTTCCCAGTCGTTTATTTCGCATACGTCTTCCAACCGGGTTCCCCCCGTCCGATTCAGATTCAAAACAAAATGCTTCTCTCTCATGGGCGACGGGGGACGACGGTCCATAAGGGACAGAAGGGCCAACACGGGAACAAAGAGCTAAAAAGTTGGCAGTAGATAAAAATGAATATGAAAATAGTTTGAAATGCCCCTCTCTTCTGGTGTGTGTTCGTGGTATGCTGTGCTGTTCGGCGCGTCGATTTATAATTTAAATAGCCTCAAGGTTGCCACACACACACACACACACACACACACCACGTTCAGCTGTGCCCCCACGAATACAAACTAGTCTCGGATACGCGCAAAGAGAGAGATGCAGATACATTTAGGCGATCTTTTTTTTATGCGGCAAACGTCGCTCGTACAACGTCCGCTCGGAATATATGTGGGTCACTTTAATTTACGCGATCCGCTCATTTTCGCGCGCCTTTCTGCACAGAAGACAGGCAGACTTGTTTATCATTTCCCAGCACTGCACTCAATTTCCACGATGCCAAAGACGGAGGAATCGAACGACTTCACATTTCCCCAGGCGGCTCGGGTTGAATGCCTTCTGAGTTATGGCAGACAACGTATGAATAGACTGTCAATTGGCCTGAGTTATGAACTGCACATCAGTCGCCATAATAGAGCACACATCGAGCGATCCATTTGCCCGAGAATGGCTGGGACTCGGACTCGGACTCGGCCTGGATTTATGGCAATAGCATGTGAATTAAAAGCATGAATAATTGCGGTTGTATTCGACTTTTGAGGCATATGAAAATGATATACAAAATGTGGTAGATATGAAATAAATTTGCGAACACAACGGGCACATTTTCTTCACTCAGTTAGCAGGAGGATGGATGGTTATATCTGTCTGAGATTAGCATTGAAAGATGAACTGAATAGTGAACGCGTTCAATCATTCATGCAGTTTTCGATTAAAGAACTGAAAGGCCAGTTGGGTGGAATATAGTGACATCGCAATTGCTTTCGATATGCCCTTTTATATAATTAATAGAACCATTTGCAAGCCAAACCTGTTGGACCCAGTCGCGGGGTTAGCAGAGCCGGGCCATAGAAAAAACCCGCCGCATCGGTATCGGCACTGGCATCTGCATCGACCGGGCCCGAAGATAAACGGTATTCCGCACAATGAGATATTTTGCATATCTCCCGCTCACAGCACAAAGACGATAAAATTGTCAACGAGATCATAGAGGACGCGACGACTGCGACGACAACGACGACAACGACGACTGGCTGCGATGAAAGTAAATACGAGCATGACGCCATTATGGCAGCCAAGTGCACGACACGTAGACGCAGCCAGCCCCTGTCCCCCGCGCCCCCCTGCACACTGTGCACTGTGCACTCTCGGAAATACATAGATACACATGCATTTATCCATGCAGTTGCATGTGAATCGCGGGACTTGATGGAGTCGCGCAAGAATTGTCCATGTCCCTGCCGCCTCTGCTCCACCATCAACTCTTTGCCCCCGTCCGGTGCTGGCTTTCACTTTGCCAGCGATGCCAGCCAAGCCTCCAAACCCACCCAGAGACCACATCCAAGACCAAGACCCGGACGTAATGGCAACGGCAACGGCAACAGCAACAACGGCAACGGCAACGTTTTACAGCTGAATGCTTGCCAAATGCAATTTAACTAATGAATTTTAATATTTTACGCCAAAGCGTCTGAATGAATTTTCATTTTCACATCGTTGCACCGACCCAACCGACTCGGGCAACAGCGTCAACAATGTTGCAGCTTGCAACGAATGGTGTGCTGCGCCAGAGGCGTGGCATGAGGAGGGGGCGGAGTGGCTGTACCTGATTATGCTGATAAGAAAGCAAAGAGGTTAACTTTTCTTAATTATCTGGAAAAGCGCAGCCCGTCTGGAAGGAAAATGCAGAGATGTTTCTCCAACTACAGCACTGGAAATTTGCAAGCCCGGCACGCGCTGTACGGCGGGGGGGTTGGGGGTAGGGTCCACTGGAAGGAAAGGAAAGCAAATCTGTTATATGGAAAGCAGAGGAAACAATGCGAGGGACTCTAAGAACGTATTTGCCAGCTCAAGCGCCCGTCTCAAATATTTTCATCAGCCACGCTTTTAAAAAAACACAAAAAATCAAAGATCCATCTCTAAAATGTCGTAGCTGCGAAACGTTTTTCCCAGTGCAGATTTGCCTCAGTGTGCACCGAATGCTGCCTTGCCAATGTCTGGAGATAAGAGCTGCTGGCCATAAATTGGGCAATCATCAATGCGACAAAGAAGACGGTCCCGAGACTCGCTCCAGCCCTGGCTTGTGCATAGTAGCGACTGCTCCTCCGTTCGTCCCTCTGTCTGTCCCTCTGTCTGTCCGTTCGTCCCTCCGTTCGTCCGTGTGTCAAATAAAGTGGCAGCAACGACGGGGCGAATGCACAGAAATTTGTGTATTTTAATTAAAAATGCGCCAGCGCTGGCAAGCGGCTTCTCATCTGCTTATTAATTAGGCGTCGCTTCGGCGGAGGAGTCGGCGACTCTGCCTTCGACGTGGTCTACTTTGGCTGTGGCCGATGCCGATCCAGTGAGAACTGGTCGGACAGGCCAGAGGCTCACTTTGCTGGTGGTCCACTCATTGCAGGGGCCCAGCCCAGCCCAGCCCAGCCCAGCCAATTGTGATTTTTTTCGATGGCGCTGACAACTAAATTCAAAACGGCCCGATTGAGTGGTTTATGGAGGCTGCCAATGGAAGAAGGGGATGGGTAGCCGTGCAGGCCGTTGAACACGATCTGAGAGATCATCACTGAAGTCTGCTGCCCAGCCTGATCCCCTCAAGGTTGTAGCAATCTATTTATGGGCGCGGAATTTTACATTAGCAACATATGAATCCTTTGCGTATATAAAGAAATTACCAACAGCCGAAAAGTAACCGTTATTTTACTCTCTTCTCTTGCAGACTGGATGGGAAGCCCCTTCGAGCGCGTCGTTTGCGGCGATTTTAATGGTAAGTACCGCAATTACCGGAAACCCTTGAAGTTAATTCCCTGGCCCGCCCGCAGCATGCGGATACTAATGGGTTATCCGCCTAACCAAGCGAGGAATATGGGCAAATTTTCATTTTTTAATGCCGGAATGTCCTTGAAGAGCATCTTAAAAAGTCACTACCTACCGCCCTCCCTCCGGCTTTCACTCGCCAAACCCTTCACCGTTCACCCTGCACCCTGCACCACTGCAGCCGGCTGTAATCGGTTCTTCGCTTTCCTCATTCGACACTCGCTCCTGCTGACTTGACTCGGCGACTTTCACCGCCGTCCTGGCCTGCCTGTCATAAATCCTTGCCTTGTCCCGCCTTGTCCAGCCATTGTGCATTCGCTTTGTTTGCTGAAGTCATTTTCCTGCGAATGTCCCGACAATCGCTCAAGAAAGAAAGGAGCAACTGGCAGCCGGCCGGGGTCTGGCCGACTGCAGACTGCATGGGTACGCTCTCTATGCTAATCGGCTTGTCTGTGAAAGTGGCAAAGAAGACCTGCCTGACTCAGTCATGCCAATAGCTGCCAAGTAGCAAACCAACACCGTAAATCACATTGATGGACGATCGATTGCCGCAGAGGCCCCCCAAAATCTCGACAGCGCTACTGTGTGTGATGCCCATAACAATTAAGGAGCTCGGCTCGGAAAAAACTCGCTCAGTTCCACTCAACTGATCGATTCGACCGATCGCACCGGGTCCTATCGCCGATCAGCGATCAGCCTGTTGCTCTGGGCGTCGTTAAATGGTTTTTTATAGTCATTTTATGAACTATTTACGATTTTACGCATGGTCTTGCGCCGTGCATAACGATCATCAAGATTTTGTTGGTGGGATGGTGACTACGACTACCGCAACGAGCACCGCAACAAACGATCCCGATCCCGATCCCCGTTTAATGGGCGCGATCTGAGATAATGGCGCTGATTATGCTGCCGCAGCTCGATTGTTTAGCGAATCTCAGTCTGTACGTTGTACAGCTCGTTACAATTAGTTCAACGACATTGCCGTACAAGTACAATAAATGTGTAGACAGACACACAATCGGGGGAACCGTGGGGCCATAAGCACGGGTAGCGATTGTCGATTACAATGGACAGTCATTAAACGGCATTCACAGTCCCATAATACTCCCCTATAATTGATTGACTGAATAGCTACATATTCGAAACTGCAGATTGTAATTGTTGTGTAATTGATTAACGACCTGAAAGTGTCGTAAAATAGAGTTTCAAAATTCATGGGATAGTCAATACTTTGCTGATGCGATTAAGTGGAAGTTTTAGAAGATTCCAATGTGCATAGCAACTATCGAATGAAAGTTCATTTGAATCGTTGCTTGATAAGTCACCAGTAGCCTCAAGAATTCCATATAGATGCAAATTACTATTCGAATCCAATGCATTTCTGATTAAAAATCGATAGTATCGAGTACCCACTGCTTGTTAGCGGAGCCTTTAATTTGTCACTGCTAATTGTTATATTGTGATCGAAAGTTTTAAAAGTAATCAACCGATTTGGTGGTACTACAGTGAATAGGTGTCCAAAATGATTGTTATTGTGTGGATCGCTTCCATGATTTATTGATTCGACCGAGCTAACCCGATTTAGTGATTGCGTTGCGCATACGCATAGTAGCCCACCAGCCAGTCGTGCCCTTCCTTTTGACGACTGTAGCATGTAATTGCGAACCGTTTAATTGTACTCTACCGCCACTGGGAAAAGAGTATTCCCCGCAGCCAGGGCTGAAACCGGAGTGAGGATCGCAGCGACTCTGGTGCTAGTGCTTGTGGTGTTGGTGAGGCTGAGACCCGCAGCGGAACGTGCCATGGCTCTGCTTTCGACGTCACAGATCGCTTGATATTCGAGTGGGTTCGGACCCCTGATCACTCCTCCTTCCTCTCCTCTGCTTGCTGGTGATCCTCTGGTGTTTGCTTTGTAAATAAATCTCTGGCGTTGAGCGGAGTCATTCGGCCAATTTACAGTACTAACAGCCGCTGTTTGACAAGTAATTAACTCCCCGAGCTGCAGTTTCACTTCTGTACTTCTGCACAGATTGCGTTTTTTGCTGCTGAGTTTGCTGGGGCTTGGGTTGCAATATTTTCTGCGAAAATCTGCATGGAGGAATTTTTCCTGGAGGCAATTGTCTTGCAAAGGGCGCACAGAATCGAATCTTTAATATTGATGAGAATTTAAGTAAAAAGTGGAGGCGAATTCATTTCAAATCGTTATCTCGGCACCATCTCTACCCCTGGGTTACCCATTCGCATTCGCCCCATTGCGATCTGTGCGATCGAAATAACAAAATTAATTATTTTAATTAATTTTACTTGCCATAATTATTGCCCATGACAAGCATGACGAGTGACCAAGCAGTCAGCAGGAATCATAGTGGGGGTCTCTCATCTCTCATTTACTACCCAGTCTCCCGACCCATGATTCGGAATTCAATCATGATCGGGATCTGTCTGTGCACTACTGATTCTCAATGTCAGTGGCGAAGCGTCTCCGGCATCTCCGTCCGGCCAGATAAACGTCGCTACAGGCCACGACCCTGCCAGACCCTATCCGACCACTCAACGGCACTGTCTGTGGCGCATGTATGTATATGTATTCCATATCTGTGGTGTGGCTGTATCTGTGGTGTGGACCTGGACGTCGATGTGGATGTGGATGCGATTCGGACTGAGTGGGCCTGGACATGGACAGGCTGCAAGGGTTAATTTATGAGGCGCGATAAGCGAATTCCATTTCGTTTCGTTTCGGGTTTTGTTTAATTTCCGATTCTCTGGTGTTTTCCTTCCCCATGTTTCTGTTTCTGTTTCTGTTTTCGTTTTTTCTTTATTTTATTTTATTTTATTTTGTGTTGGTGTATTTACATTTGGCTCGCTCTCTCCCCGTCTCCCCTTGGGGGAGGATGGGCTGGAGAGCGGCATGTGCGACACCGTGTTATCGGCACGTTTCGTGTCGTTGTTTTTTCATTTGCGGCGGCGGAAAATTCGAAATGACACGTTTCTGCGAGTGCGAGCGGAGCTCTGCCCTTTTTTAACTGCCCCGTGCGGCTGTTAATCTGCGGTTTTAATGCCCAAGTGGCGCAAATTGGCGAAAGGGTTTGAATTACACATCACAGCCAGAAAGAGAGAGAGCGAGAGAGAGAGGGAGAGACAGTGCCACAGACAAGAACAAAATGGCAGCCAGACTGGCGCGTTCCATGGCTCGTCCTGTATACATGTAAATTTGCGCAGACGAAATCAAATTAAAAGCGCACACGTTCCACAGACAATTGAAGCTCCCCTCTATCCTCTATCCACCATCCACCATCCTCCTATCATATTCATTCAGAGTTTATTCCCCTGTTAAATATACTCACATATATGTACATATGAGGGAATCCGCATAAGTATTTGTCTTTTGTAGGCAAAGTTTGTTAATTTTCATTAATTTAAATATTTCATTTAACGAATCGTCTTTCGTTTAGAACTGGGCTTGAAGTCCGCTCTGTCGTGCGACATTTGCAATTTTCCACATTTCCACTTTTCCGCCTCCCGTTTTCTGTGTCGTCTGTTCGTCTGTTTCGCGTGCCCTGCGTGCTACCTTCCGTTTCCGTTCCCAAGACGCCCCTCCTGAGGTTGAAATTAATTTGAAGAGGGCGCACAGTTAATATTAATTTAATCGCGGAATTATACAAGTCGCTCTTGGTGTCGGTTAATGCACTCTTTGTGCGGTTCTCTTTGCTAAATGTATCATTTGTCCTGATTAATTGCCGAGATTATAGTGTTTACGATGCACTTCGTTCCTCTTGATGCGCCATAACCATTTCGAAATGTGGCTGGTTACGAGGCACTTGCAGTAGTTACAGTTTACAGTGAACGGAGCACACAGGTAGGGCTTTTCGGAGGGAGTTTCCTCATGGCAATTCGTTGGGATCAGATTTAATAGTTTGGGATGTGTTCTCTGAGAAGAGAATAACCCGAATCAACATTTACTTGGACAATAGCAGAGCTTGAAGATATTTTCTTTTGAGACGGCCAGAACCAAGGCTAGAAGCATATCTTGCGTCTTTTCCCCTCTCAGAATCCTCTCAGAATCGAATGTTTTGAACTCTCGTCAACTAATTCCTTGTAGTTTGGGGGTAGAACATCTCCGATTTAGTTGTTCCATCATTTCACTCTCCAATTATGCGATCTCGAGGATTTTTCCCTAGATTCCAATCACGTCTATTGTATTCCAAAATCCTGCCCTGGACGAACTCGTTATTCCAGTTCTTCTCACTGTGAGAAGCCTTCTCCTTGCTCCTCTCTCCCCAGCGCCTAATGAAGCCATTCAGGTAATTTCTGAGCCTTTTGGAGAGCTTCGTAGTTTTGTAAAGACCAAACTTGAAAGGGCTCAACAATGCCAAGAAATAAAACTTGTCGAGGACAAAAGGCTGCTGGGATTAGGATCGTGGAGGGGCTCCCGGGTAGCATGTCGCATCAGCCACCATTTTCCCGAGTGACTCTTATGCAGCCATTAACAAAAGACCAACTCAACCTTGTGTGCGTAAGCCATTAATCAAGTTTGTCAGCCATCGAAAATGCCGGAGGAAATGGAAAAAACGAAAGACGCTCGTTGTGGTTTGAGGTCCATCCGCGACTTCGACTTTTAGCTCAGCCGGGACCGGGACCGGGAATGGAACTGGGAATGCGACGGGGAGCAGGCAATCACACAACAATCAATTTCTCAGGAGCCCACAGGACCACACCTCATCACAGAGGGGGACTCTAGACCAGGTGGGGGGAGTGCTGTGGAGTGCATTGTTCGCTGCAGGGCGACCCGCGCATATTGAATTTTGTATCCGCGGGCCCAGGGACTGGGGCTCTGACTCTGTGGCTGTGGCATGGGGCTGGGGTATGGGGACCCGGGATAAGCATGAATTATGTGCACGCCTAGGTAAATATAGAACCCGCATCGATCGATCGATGCTTTTTATACGAGTT